CAAACGACCCCCGAGCCCCCCCCCCCCCCCATATCAAATAAACGCAAGAGGAGTGAGCTGCGAAACGTATGCCTGCTGCATGCTGGGAGCTGTAGTCCGAGGAGGCAAGGTCGGTGCCTCAGTGCTTACCAGGGCTGGGCTCTTTTTCCCTTCCGCTCCCACCCCCCAAGTGGCGGATCGCCAGGGCCCGGTTGCACATGTGAACACTGTGACCCTGATAGGTCCGCCAGTGAAAAAGTCAGAGTTTAGACATCTATTAGGTGGCAGAGCTGACACACCCCAGATAGGTGATTAAAAGAGAATGATACATGCAGGCCTCTAGATCAAACAGCCAAATTTCATCCCATGAAGGACAATGACAGTACAGAGGTCCAAAAAGATACTCTTGTCTTCATCTTTTTATTTGCATTCAACAGCTGGAATCTGATTGGTACCTGTGAGGTATCAGATCCATTTTGTTTCCCTTCAGTTGTTATAAATAATCTCCTTGGATGTGATGTGTCTACTTTGAGTTACATCACACAGGGCCTAAAATATTGTTTTGAAAGCCTTTCCTCGGGAATGTGTGTAGTTCCTTCTATAAATGGCACATCCTGTGTTGATTCCAATAGCGTGTGAACATTAATAAATCTCTTTTCTATATTGTAGACTCAAAACCTTGGAAAGAGGATGAAAGAAGGCGCTCACATAAACCGCTCTCTTCTAGCCCTTGGAAATTGCATCACTGCGTTAAGTGAGCGAGGGAGCCATGCTCATGTGAATTACAGAGACAGTAAACTGACACGACTGTTAAAAGTAAGCGTCTTTACATCATAACAAGAGTTCAAGGATATCTCAAATCTGAGTACCGTCCTTCTGTAAAGGACTAATCCACCCCCTCATGTAATGGAGGTAAATAGAGGAACATATGTCTGAATCCAGCCTGGGTGACAACCATGGCTTCCTCGTTAAAGGAGAACTATGAGGTGAGTGCTTTTCACTCACCTCATTGTTCTAGCCGACCTGTGACAATGAGACTGTCACAGGTCGGCTCAGTAGATCGGGAGGTGAGCGAACAAAAGGTGGGTTATTCCCATGATTACTAGGTGAAAACAAAGCCCTGGAAAAAAAAAGAAAACAAATGCAGCCGTCTAAGAACTGGCAAGATGCAACAAATTTCATTTTTCTATTTGGGTTTATATATGCTTTAAAGTGAACCTGTAGCAAAATGTAAAAGTAGAAAAGATGGTTCCCTGTAGAGAAGAGATATTGTACGTACCAGTCCTGCACCAATGATTCTCTTTCTCTGTGAGAGCTATTATGTCAGTTGTATTTTCTTTATCTAGCACACCGCTGGGATTGTTGGATTCCTAGACCCCTATCGAGTGATCTGACTCCTATCACTGGCTCCTCCATAACTGCAGGGTATAGTAGGGGTATGTAGGAACCAGTGAAAGGAACCATTGAGCTGTTGACAAATACCGTATGTATTATACTGCAATTAATTGAAGATGTTAACCGTTATGTATGAAGACAAAGAACTGTTATCCAAAACAAGGAACTATGAGGGCCTGTTCACACCATCCAATGCCATCAGGGCATGCACTATTTTTTGCGATTGCACCGCCCTGGAACGCATGGCATTGCGTTACCACGCATTACGGCGCGGATGATCGCACTGCGATCGGGAGGCGTGTCTGCGGAATGAATGCATGTATGGCACCACCACGCCCCAGAACGCGGGGAGCCTTTCTAATTGCGGCACCACGCATTCCGGCGTGGGAACTGTGCCCTGAACGCATTGGATGGTGTGAACAAGCCCTGAAGGTAATTATCTGTAAAAAATAAGTCAAGGCAACTGGACTTGCTGTATTTTTCTTGAAGACGTTGAAGAAAAATACAGCAAGTCCAGTTGCCTTGACTTATTTTTTACAGATATACCATGACCTGGATGAATGAGAACCTTCACGGACCTACTGAGGGTAATTGATCACAACTGGAGCAGCTGTGCATAGCAACCAATGAACATCTACCTTTCATTTTCAAAGCTTAATTGAACAAACTGAAGAAAGAAGCTGATTGGTCACTATGGGTAACTGCTCTAGAGTCTGTGGGAGTGATTTACTAACCTAAACACACGCACGCACTAGGTGCGTGTGATTTTTACACAGCAAAACGTATTTATCAACCAAAAAGTCTCTAAAAGCATATTTCCACTAATGCCATATATGGAAAAATCATGCACATGATGCATATATAATGCTGCTTCACAGTTTAGACAAAAATGGTTAGCTCATGCATTTACATTCCTGCATTCATCAACGCAAGCAACACAACATTTACACAAGATCACCTTGCAAATTCATGCAGCGCTTTGCACAACACACCTGCTGGGTGTGTACACACAACAAAGGTGTTTAGATTCCACCCATAGATCATGCTGGGAGGGAACACACTACAGAGGTGTATACATGTTCGTGGTGTGTTTATAAGGTTAGTAAATCAACCACTGTGTGTTCTTGTTTTGATAAATTCCCCCCATATCATCTATTATTGTTCTTACTTTCTTGATGTCATCAAAGATCTATACATTTCTCTGTGCATTGGCTTAATATATAAGCTCAGTTAAGGTTCTAGTTACAGAGGGTATGTGCAGTAGAGCAAAAAAGTGGTTTTATATAACCAAGCTCTTTTTCTTTCGCAGGATGCTCTGAGTGGGAACAGCAGAACAGTAATGATAGCACATGTGAGTCCCTCCATTGCTGCTTATGACGAAACTCGCACCACTCTGATTTATGCAAGCAGAACAAAAAACATCAAGACCAGGGTGAGCGACTGCCATCAAAGCTAAAGATGATGAATGAAGATCATTTTTAGGACATGGGAAATCCTACACAGGCATGAAATCATTGGGGTGTATTAAAAAAAAATGCTTTGACATCTAAAGCTATTCCCATATGTGTTTGTAGTGCGTACCTTTTGAGCTGGAGTTGAATTTTTAAAGGTGATGTAAGCTCAATGTTTAGGCCCACAATAAACAATTAGAGATGCATTAGGGAGTGTCTTTGATATTGGATAATGGTGTGGGAAAGAAAATTCACTTATTTGTCAGCCATAACTAATCAGAGCAGTCAAGGCAAGTCATGTGATTCAAATCCAGCATTAGATCACCTCATCCCCAACATCGGCAAAGCCTTCATTCACTTTTTACAAGTTTAGGTCACATGACCCAAAATCAAAGCACAGTGACACCTACTTATCACAGTTGACAAATAGTTTTATTCACTTTGCAGCGCCCTATTCACCCCCACTTATGCCATTCTTATTTTTCCTAAACCTCGAATGTTGTTTTGATTTAAAATGTTTCTTTATTGCGATCTGTATAGAGTGAATTTGCATGAATTTACACCAACCTAATTCTGTTCATTAGATACAACACCATATAATGTGGACCTAGATCAGACATTCCGTATATTTTAATATTGTGCGGTCACATGATAATTAATGTAAAGTGTTATTACGTTTCAAAAAAGATTGTAGAACTTCCTGTGATCTTCCTCCTCCAACCTGCTGTCATGGATTGGGACTCACAGGTATGAACTGGAGTCAGGTATGGGGACCCTTTCCACTACACTGGCAGGGACACTCAGAGAAATGGGTCCAAACAGTGAAGGCTGACGACTCCCAGAGCTGGAGTACAAGCAGGGGAAACAGCCAGTAGACAGGGATTTCCAAGAACAAGCCAAAGGTTAGGTACACAGGAAAACTTCCAGGAATTCAGGGTAAATCACAAATGGGGGACTCGGCAACTAGCTTGGGAAAGCATTGCTCGGGCAGTGTGCCGTTGGCTGCCCTGAGTATAGATAGAGACAGGAAGAGGGAGGATCCAGAGGATTGGCTACAAGCAGACTGCACTGATTGGCCAAGAATCTGCATAAGAAACAGCAGGAGAGGTCGGCCGACGCCTAAAGCTTGCAGACAGGTGCAAGAGTGAGTCAGGTTCAGAGCACATGTCTGGAGGACTACAAGCACCAGCAAAGCCCTATATGCTCTGCAGAACCAGGGGTAAGAGGTATGTATATACTTGAAGAACTACAAGTAACAGCTCAGCTGCAAGTCTGCAGCTGAACTGTGACACCTGCAGGCTGAACAAAAATAATAAAGCAGATTCCTATATTGTAAAGCGCTGAGAAAATTGTTGGCGCTATATAAATATTGTATAATAATTGTATAATAATTCTTTCATCAACGCTATGAGGAATCCCCGCTCATTGGCTGACCATCACCTTTGATCAGCTGATCGAGGGATGCTGGCCGAAAGGGTGCTGACAGGGATTGACAGTGTGCAAATTTCGTCTGGTTTCTCAAGAACCAGCCAAACTTCACACAGTATATGGCCACCATAAGATGCTGACCCTCGGAACATACAAAAGTGCAATTCCTGATGCCTGTGTATTAGCCTTAGCTCTCTGCTGACACACTGCTCAGCCCCTTTGTCTCCTCCTATTGTGTGACCTGCCTTATTGTGTGATCAGTCCCTTCACTTCCTCATACAATGTCATGTCAAAAAAGGTGCCAACAGGCCTACATCATCTCTACATTTTATTGGTGGATGACATATTTCCTTTAAGTCTATAATAATTTTAGGAAAGTTTCGTTTAGGAGAGCAAGAAGGGTCTGTGTTGCCAATAACAACCAATCACAGCCCAGCTTTCAATTTACAGAGCAGATTAGAGAATGTAAGAACTTATTTGATGATGATTAACAAATAACTTGGTCTCAGTTCAGCTCTTTATTTTCTTGTGACTTTGCTCTTCCTGCGTCCCTCCATCTTATTTCTAGGTGCGGCAGAATTATGAAAATGTGGCCCACCGTGTTAACAAATATGGAAGAGTTCTCTGCAATCTTCACAATGAACTAGAGCAACTACATCGAAGAATCAAAGAGCATGGCAAGGAGATAAGAAGAATGAAGCAAACGGAACTAAAAATCAGAAGTGCACAAGGTATTGCCATAATCTGTAATTAAAATATAGTAAATGGGCCTTCCTGATAATCTCCATCCTCAACACTTGTAATCTCTGTCACCATCTCATCTCATCCTTAGCACCAAAGACTAGACCAAAATGAAATGTACATTGTATGGCCAGCACTTTGTGGACACCTGACCATCACACCTATATGAGTTTGTTGGACATCCCTTTCCTAAACCATTGGCAATAACGTTGGCACCTTCCCCCAACATTTCAGTTGAGATTGATAACACAACTATCCACCCCTCCTCCAATGCCAAGGTCCTAGGTGTCATCCTTGACTCGGACCTCACCTTTCTTCCCCACATCCAATCACTATCCAAATCCTGCCGCCTTCACCTTCGTAACATCTCCAAAATACGCCCCTTCCTCACCAATGACACCGCAAAACTACTCATACACTCACTTGTTATCTCTCGTCTTGACTATTGTAACTCCCTCCTCATTGGCCTTCCACTACACAGGATATCCCCCCTTCAGTCTATCATGAATGCAGCTGCCAGACTCATCCACTTGACCAACCGCTCAGTGTCTGCATCCCCCCTCTGCCAATACCTACACTGGCTTCCACTCGCCCAGAGGATAAAATTCAAAATATATAGAGTCTCTCCCATCCTCTGGAACTCTTTACCCCAACCTGTCCGTCTATCTCCCACCCTGACTGTCTTTAGGCGTTCCCTGAAAACTCTTCTCTTCAGGGAAGCCTATCCCACCTCAACCTAACCACTGAACCATCACATTCTCAAACAATTCATCCCCACACAGCTACCTCCTCATGTTTCACTTGCCCCTCCTCTTTTAGATTGTAAGCCCTCAGGGGCAGGGCCCTCCTTACCATCCTGTCTTGAATTGTATTGTGATTGTAATGTCTTCCTTACATTGTAAAGCGCTGCGCAAACTGTTGGCGCTATATAAATACTATGTAATAATATTAATAATAATAACATGGAGTTGGTCTCCCTGTGCCGCAACAGCCTCAGTCCTTCTGGGAAGACTTTTCTCAAGACTTTGAGTGTCTGTTGGCATTTGTGCCCATTCAGTCTAAAGAGCATTTGTGGGTTTGGGTACTGATTTTGGATGAGAATTCCTGGCTCACAATCTTCCAATTCCCCCCAATGGTTTTTAGTATGGTTTAGGTGAGTGCTGTGTGCAGGCCACTCAATTTCTTCCAAAGAAAGATTTATGGACCTGGCTTTGTGCACAGCAGCATAGGCATGCTGAAACAGAAAATGGTTGTTCCCAAAATATTTCGGAAAGCAAAGTTGAGAAGTGCATGATTGCCTAAAATGTCTTTGTATGCTGTAGCATTAACAGTACCCTTTACCAGATAACACCTGAACTCATCGTTTGGAAGAGTGTCCACATACATACCTTTGTTTATAAAGGTAGGATGGTCAGTTGTCTATAAACCTTTGCCCATATAGTGTATATACGAGCAGTACAGTAGGAAGGCTTCAGCATGGGTTGGGCCTGTGAGGTTTTAATCTTTAAAATCTTCATTTTTATTTCCTTAAAGTGAGCCTGCACTTTGGCCATGTATGGCAAAGCAACAGGTTCACTTAAATGATCCATATAGATGCCAACATGCTGATGTTTTTAATTGCAAAAGTTGTAGTTTTACTAGAGCAGCATAAACATGGAATGCCAGCAGTTGCTGGTCACACAGGACCCTTTTATCAAGGTGACAGTCGTCACCTTAGGAAAATGGTCTTGTCTCCCCCCCCCAAAAAAAAAAATCTGTGTTCCATGTTTATGCCGCTGTAGTAAAACTACAGCTTTTGCATGTAGGCATCAATTTGGATCTGACAAAATGGTGCCTCGGTTGCTGTGTATCCACCATTCTACTTATAGGCCATTAGGGTAGTTTGTGAAATGGACTTTTTTCCAACAAGAGCCACTTAACTGTTGCCCTGTCCAGTTCCACATACTTACCTTTCTTCTGCTCACCTGCTGCACCATTCGGCCTTCAGTTTAGTACTTCTGAGAATGGGGAGCTCTTCCACCATCGCAACACCATTGGTTCTTGGCGATTGGCCACTCAAACACTTAACGCTGTTACAGGGCAGGAAAGGGGGAGGGGGAAGTCCTCATCCTGTGTGGTCTCCAAGATGCCATTTGAAGATTACAGGTCTTCCTCTCTTTGCTTCCAGTGATGGAAGAGAGCGCAGGAGCAAAAAGAAAGTTAGCATGTGCATCTGAGAAGGGTGGCAGCTAAGAATACTAAAAGCTGTTGACAGATATGAAGTTCAAACAGCCAGCGGTACTTGCAGCAGCTCTTAGCATATATTTCTGCTTTACCAAATTCTGGTCTGTTTTGATTAAACAAAGCTCTGACACTTCCATGTAGTGTTGGAACTTGCCACTAAGTTCCACCCTGCGCATTCCTATTGGTCCAGCATTATGATGGACTACCGAACTAGCCAATAAGCATGTGTAGAAGGAGGAAAAGAGCAAGCAATCATAAGTACTATGAGAAAGTGTCAGAGCTTTGCTTGATTAGACGAGCCTGGCATTCAGGCGAAGGAGAGAATGCTGAAAGATTCTGCAGTTATGAGGTGCCTGCTCTTTATGCCTTTCAGTACACGTAAAGGACAGATTTACGTTTATCTAAACAAAGGCTAGACCCAACTAAATGGCTAAATTGCACTAAACCCCACCCCACTGCTCAATTGCCTCAATATCACAGCAGTGGATCAATCTGGTTTTACTTCCTCTGTCAATAAATTGTCTTAAGCTTAGGCTGAAAGGAGATCCTCGGAACTCTCAGAAAGGTCTGCCTGTCAGATTGCTCATCTCTGTCCCTTTCTTTGGCTGTTAGAAAGCCAACAAGGGAGATTTACTTTTCCTTCTTCATGCGCCTTTATGTATAATATGTAGAAAATCCAGGGAGCGAGAGAGACTCTTTCATAATGGTTGCAGGTAGGTGGATCTGGGAACTCCGCTGCAGAGATCAGTTTATAGGAATGATGCAGAAATAGAGGAGGGCGGTGGGATATTCAGAAGTAAAAAGTCATTAGAGATGGCTGCTGAGAGTAAGATGGAGCTGGCTGTTCCTTACTTGAATGGACAAAGGTCATGATGGTGGCAGGCAAATGACTAAAGATTGTAAAACATGCCTGAAACCCACAGTAAAGCATGGGACTGTTGTATTTATCTTCTTTCTTCCACAGAGGATTCACATCAGGCGGACAACTCACACAAACAACAAAAGCGAAATAATTTGGTGAAACAATTTAAGGGTGTACTTGAGGAACATATGAAGGTGAGATGCTGCCTTTTACAGCTGGATAATTCTCATCTAGAACAACACATTGACACTGTACGCCATCTTGCTACCATAGCTGAGTAAGTACACTAAATAGATATTACATGTTACAACAGTGCCTTGCAAAAGTATAAATGTCCTTGCAAATGTATAATATGCATAAGTGTCTTTGTTTCTTTCTGGACAAGCTATAGAGACATATGCTTATCACCACACGTAGATAGAATATAAAAGATGATCATTTACAATTAGTGAACAGTTCCCAAACCTCATAGGAAGCATGACAATCCCAGTGACAATTGATACTGCCTGTCCAGATGTGTACATTGTTAGGTGGCCATGGAGAACATGATGCCTGTCACCTTAGAGCAGTAGTCAACTACTGCCTGGGGTATATTCAGTACATAAATGGCTCATGTTGCTATGTTTATTACCTTAAGGCACAGTTGTTATATCCACATGATATGGAAGTCAATTTACAGTCTGATGTGCTGTATCAGCTCACTAATAACCAGTATCTTTTGAGACTAGAGGACACACAAGACAATTAAAGGTTCCTGGCAAGCTGAAAGACGGCACATAATTTTCCCCAAAATGGATACCACCGAACCGTGGGTAGGTGACAAGGTGTCTTTAAAGTTTCTCATATTTACAGTGCACTGAAGAAGACTCATAACACCCAGAAATCACACTTAGGAAATAGATCAACACTAGCTCTGCCGCATTCACAGCCTTGCTAGAGCGATGAATCCTGTTAGTCAGCTTCCAATATATAAACACAAACTATAAATGTAGTATTATGAATTCATCTTAAATTCATTACTTAAATAAACATAATTTGCTTTTACTTATAATTACTGTTTTTCCACTTCCTGGTCCTCGCTAGTGATGTAATCTGTGCCCAAGCGAAGCATTCTTGGAAGGTTACATCACAGTGCATTGCTAGGAAATCTCATCCATAAACTGCAAAATCTTGTGAGATGTCAGGGAAAGGCATTTATTCCCCCTGAGATGATGTGCATGGTCACATGTCCTAGTCACATGTGCCAGAGTTCCAGGAAGTAAAGGGAGATATATTAATTTGCCCTTAGTAAAAATGGCCACTTTGAGAAGAATGGGGAGGAAAAGAAAAATGAGGTATGTAAAGAATAAAAAGCCGACAATTATCTAATAAATATCTGTTTTTAGATTGCCATTACAAAACATTTCTAAAGGTGTCTTTCTTGTTAAAGATACGGGTAAAGTTCCCCTTGAAAAGGTCACCATACACTATTTACTTTAAGAGGTTTATAAGGTAGGCCCTTATAGTACATAATTGTTAGAATTGTACAATTAGATTTTATAGTGCAGTTTTTCTCAACAGGGGTGCCATCTGGCTTTGTCAGGGGTGCCGTCAAATTTTAGCATAGCAATTACACATTTCCATGATGCAAGCAAACTGTCTGCCAGCACCAAGAAAATGCATGATGCTAATCTGGGGTGGGCTGCTTCTAGGACCGCCTTATCCAGACTTGCTCCACCTCCCCTCCCATCTTCTGCCATGCTGCCACAGCCACACTGTGGTGAAGATTGTGAAGTAGGACTCTGATGTGAAGGGGTGACTAAGGACTCTGATGTGAAGGGGGGACTGAGGACTCTGATGTGAAGGGAGGACTAGGACTCTGATATGAAAGGGGGACTAAGGACTCTGATGTGAAGTGGGGACTGAGGACTCTGATGTGAAGGGGGGAACTCTGTTTTTTTTCTTTCTTTTTTGCATGGAGCTTTCCTTAACATTCATACCAGACCCCTATCTAGGAAAAGGGTCTGGAACTGGTATTGGGGGGACCCACATGTAATTTTTTAAATTTCCGTCCATTTTAGACTGGGGTGCCTCAAGATTTTACATATGTTTAAACGTTGCCGTGACTAAAAAAAAAAAAGGAAATACTGGTATAGTGTATGGCCAGCTTTAGAATGACTTTGCTTTGCAGTCTTCTACATGTCTCATTCTATTCTTTGTGATGCAGCTGGGAGCAGGACAAGCCTCGGTGCTCAACCCAGCAGAGGTCAAGTAAGACTGTTGAGCATACAGTGATTGATGTGGGAGATGAGGAGGAAGATGGAGATACAGATATGACTGAACCTCATGAAGTTATGATGGCCAGAGAAGAAATTAACATACTTCTTGCTGAACAACAGAAAACATTTGCGAGGATGGTAAATACTTCTTTGCATTGTTCTTGTCCATTAGAGGAAGGCAACCTCCAAATTACCAATTTACACAACTTAATCAGCAGGTTATGTATATAAGTGACTGGCTATATTTCTTAATGACAACAGAACATATCACTAGCCCTTTGATTATTATGTAATTACAATTGTACATGCATTGTAGAGGGAGATTTGCCATGGAGTATAAAGCTGGAAATACACTATGCAAATTTCGGCAGGTTCTTGATTAAGCGGCTGAAATTCACACAGTGGGTGTTGCTCTTGGCACCCTTCCAGCCAGAATCCCTCGATCAACTGATTGAAGGAGCCAATGAACTGCTGGCTCTGTTCGGGTAAATGATAGGTTTGTCTGCACTGGCGTTAAATTAATAAAAAGCAGATACTGGGCTCTTTGTCCCCACCAAATACTCCCCTGGTGCTAGTGAGTGGTCAAATGTATCCCTAGTTAAACACTCACTTCTCTTCTTGTTAAAGTGTATATGTGGCCCAAATTGTTTTAGCTTTGGTTAGAAAAGTAAAACCCGTGCCATGTTTATGCTGTTTGTGTACCATTGGGACATTGTTCTAGGGACAGCATAAAACATTTGGATTTCCCCTTACTTTCTGTTTTAGTGGCAATAGACATGAGGACAAGCAGAGGGTGAATCTCCCCAATGAGGACACAGATAGCAGAAAAAACTCGACAGAGGGTCTAACCCTCCTCCCACACCATTCAAAACTAAAAAGATTTGCCTAAAGATAAATTTTAGGTCAACATGTCCTCCAAAAAGGACCTCTAACTTTTTACAAACATTTGTTTTACATTTTTTGCATTGCACTTATCTACAGAGAGAAATTGTCATACTTAAACCTATAACACAGGGGTGGGGAACGTCCGGCCCGCAGGCCTTATAAAGCCCGCAAAATCATTTGGTCTGGTCCTGCCAAGGCAAACGCAGCTTGGACTTGAAATTCAATAACTCTAAGAGCTTATTTCATAGTAACATAAATTTATATTAAGTGAATCATAATAATAACATAAATGTTGAGGGACAAGTAAGGAATGTCCATTACGGGATAGACAGGATACATACGAGTACATGTAGTATTGTGATGTGTCACTCCTTACAGCGAGTGGACCTTGATTAATAGTCGTGGTGCTCGTAGTGATTACACAGATGGCGCCGTGTTGTCCAGAATCGTGGAAGACGGAGATCACCAGCACTCAGTCAAAAATGTCACTACATCGCCCTGAAGAAGGGACCCTGCGTGGCCCCAAAACATTGGCTAAATGACATTTGCGACATGTTTCTTCAATAAATAAGCAAAAGAATCCAATGCTTTTTGACTGAGTGCCTGCGATCTCCGTCTTCCAACATACAAGTACATGACAGGACAGACTCGTATGCTTCTAGTCGGCTGCTCGCAGCCAATCTGCCTGTATTGCAGTTACTCAGAGGACAGTAAGTGCCAGGCAGACTGGGCGTGTACACATTGCAAAAGTGTTAACACACTGTGGCGAAACTACGACGATCCGGTGATGATGAGACAAGAGATGATTCCTTGCGACGTTGATGACCTTGCCTCCGATGTTTGACGACGATGTTGTCGACTTCTTTGTCGACACAGACAATAACTCCAAACCAACCTTTATTCACACGTCCACGATCAACAAAACTCACCATTGCAAAGAGTAGACTGCGCTCCAAACTGACCAACGCAAACCTGGAAAAGCAGTTGTGATTAGTAACATCATCAATACAAGCTAACATCACACGCCCCACCAAAGAGAAGCAGTTCCAGCCATCACATAAGGTGTGAGTTAATTAAATGTTTGTCCAAATAGAGCAGGCTCATTTTTAAGTTGATAATTTTGTATGGACCAGGAATTGATGTTATAAATATCCAAATGACCCTTGGCAGAAAAAAAGCCCCACCCCTGCTGTAAGCCAAGAAATGATCTTTACTGTGCTCCCTATGTGTTATTGGTGCATCTTTGTCTGTTATCAGCAGTATTCTCCAGAAGTCTAAACTTAGACTTCACCTACTTCTATTGGGTTACAAGACGTCAATGCAAGACTCCACATTATTGAGGCCTCATAAAGCCTAACTTTCCAAGTGCTTTGAAAAAAATTATAGATTTTTTATTTTCATTTTTTTACATTTTTTTTTATTCCCATTAACCTAACTGGATGTTTGAAGCAGAAATTTTGGAGTTTCATTGAAACACCTTATTGGCTTACTTAGGTTATCAAGCTTTCGAGTTCTCCTGACTTTATACATTTTTGAAAATGGTTCTGAAACCCGCATATTTATATACAGAGTAACAAGGAGGAGCAATTACATTTATTTTTATTATTTATATTTGAAAAGTATTCAAAAATAAAATAATGTTCTTGAAGGTACCATACTCTTCAACTGCTTGGATGTTTGAAGTCAAGTCTATGTCATCTGAACTAGAGTAAAATAGTCTCCCACAGTCCATCGTGCATCACAGACAATAAAATAAAAACACCATATATACTGTATACAGAGAGATGTTTTTGACTTGATGTAGGGCGTTACAGCCCTAGAGAAACTGTCCCTTGTATTTATGGAGGTCATGTACATAAGAAAGATTTAAAGTGACATTAAATTCAGAAGGTTTTAAGTTATTTCTAATGCTAATTACATCTCTTACAATGGATGCTGCTCCTTGATGGTTGAACACTGGCCCTAATAGCCTGTTTTAGGGTTGCTCCTTTCACTTGCTTGGTCCTATGGAGCAATGCTTGTGTGTGCTGGTAAAGCTACGTGTGTCTCCCCAAACACATAGGCACAGCAAGGCAAGTCATTCCTCTGATTCCTGCTCCCCTTTCTTCCAACTTCCTCCCTCCCTCCCTCCTTCCTTCTCCAGGCTAATAGATGCACAGCTGCTTGGGACTGTGATCTCCCTTATAAAGAGTTGGAACAGCTGTTCTGAAACATGATAACTGTAAGTGCTAGTCCAAAAATGTAAAGAAAAACGTTAGCCAATATACAGTATATATTTGTTTCATCTGGAAAGATTAATACTACTTTCAAATAGGATTCAAATAGGTTCTCACTGCGGTGGTGCAATCATTTTGTACTGTTTATTTATTTGATCTTTGAGATAGTTGTATTTACGAGTACTGAACAATTTTTATTGTGCTGTTTATTGATGCTGTAATATACAGTTACTTGGTATTTAGGTTTAGATACACTTTCACTATGATTAAGGGCATTAAGATCGAAACACGTCTTCTAGTATAATCCCCTGTATGCTGAAGTTAATGGGTTACATAGGACATTATAACTCCATACCTTTCACACCTCTCATCCTGTACTTACACAATCAACATCTGCTCTGTTCCAAGGTGACTGAGCTACCTCTGTGGATATAAATTCTGGAGTATTTCCATGAGTTTCCTCTGGAACTAAAGAAATGGCTTGGAAAAGCTATTGAATGTTTCAAAATTATAAAACAAGTCCAGTTGAATTTGACCAACTACTACTAGCTATACCATGACTTGGATAAATGAGAACCTTCACAGACACATTTGGACATGCCGCTGCTTTTTGTCACCTTCAATAGGTTTTTCTGATTTACTGACATCTGCAAAGCTTTAAAGTTGAGCCCTCAGCCCTATTTCTTTCAGTTTTGACATAGTGGTGAAGGTGCCAGGTTAATTATTGCTGCCTGTGTTCCCCTTGGGGAGACCTCTGCTTACCTCACATGCCATCAACAGGGATAGGGTTAAATTGTTCCAACTGGGACACTGAATAAAATTAATGTTTTGTTGAGGAAGGACTGGACCATTGTCAGGTTGCTATTGTTGTGTGCCCCCCGTGTCTTGTTTCTCTTTATGTCCTGTGCGGACTTGAGCAAGGAGACAGAGACCTGAGAATGTTCCAGCCCTTCCTTGTACTATCCAGAACTAGGAAAAAAGAAAACAAAAGTTTTGGCTGGAATCCCACTTTGAGATTTGTATTAAATCTGGAGAAAGGACATTTCCACAGTTTTATAGCTTTATCTGGTTATGTAAACACACAAATATTTTAGTAGTGATCCATTGAGGTGGGTTTCTTAGCCCAGTGGAACTCTGAGGAACCAATCATGAGCAGGGGAATTATTCATAAAAATGTGAACTTGGCTCATACATGATTTGATGGTTGAAATGATCACAACTTCACCAGGCTAGGTGAGCATTCACCTTCTGTAAATCGACCCCAATTGATGGGACAATGGCTTGTGCATTGCAAATAAATATTTGATTCAACAGCTTATTTACTTGATGAGACCAGAGCATGTAAGCATGAAAATATGAACGTTGTCCTCTGTACATTTATCCAAGAAGAAGACGTTACATTCTAAGTAGTAATATCAAGTGGTTCTCATTCTTGTCAGTAGACCATGTATCCAATAAAATATAGCAGCACAGATCATATTATACTTCACTGTAGATTACACCGTATGCTGAATGTTTCTCAGGCTATCCAAAAAGTTCTTATGATGTTTCTCTCTCATAGACAGCACTTAAAGAACAATGGGTCAATTCCAAACTGAAGGCATCTCAGCTGGAGCAGCAGATTCCTGACCAGTTCGGCAGCGATCAGGGAGAGCTGTTGAGGTTACTCCACAAAATACATGAGTTGCAGATCTTCAACAGTGAGCTACTAGCCAGGCCCATGTGTAAGGAGAGACTGCTCTACCAGAAGGACTTTGTGATCCTGAGCTACCCACATTACAGATTCCTGTGTGAAAAAAACATCCAGCTGCAGCGGACATTAATAGGTAATATTTTCAGTGTGTGACAAAGTGAACCTGACATTTTTAGGTAGACATTATGCTTTAAAGAAGTTGGATGGGCAGTGTACTTGGTTTTTTTAAGACTTTGTGTGTTTATAAAGGGTCCCCCCCCCAAAAAAAAAAAAAAAACAAACTCATGAATAGTTTGGAATCCTTTATAGTAACTGATACAGATCCTGACTTCTTGCCGCTCATAGGATTCAGCCCATGGATTTCCTACAGCCAGGAGTTACAGAGTTCACCTGCACTGCCACCATGTGCTGGTATTGCAGTAAATCTGACAAATTATAATGGTTGTACACTTTCATTCTACCAAGCAATATAAATCATATTAGGCCCTTCAATTGTTTACAGATGACTTTTCGGAGCCCAGACCTTATAGTGACACTAAACTTAGGAAATAAACCCTAAAAATGCATTCAAGTGCCCTAACTATTAACACAAATGTAGCTTATTTGTGCATCAAATCATGTCTGAAATCTTGCTGACACTGTCCCTCCTCCTGGACTACTTTTGTTCCCCATGGTCCCTGTGTGTGTTGTAATGTAGCCACCTCTCCAAGCTCACTCCTGTGATGGATTACAATCTCACGTTTAGTTTACTAATTTGTATTGAGATTGTAGTCCATCATAGGCGTGAGCTTGAAGTGGTGGCTACTTTAAAACACACACAGGGACCATGGGGAAGAAAAGTAGCCACCCTCCAGAAGGAAGCACAGTGTCAGCACCAATTCAGAGATGATTTGGATCTACAGCCGAGTGATACACAAATAAGATACATTTTTGTTAATAGTTAAGGTACTTACATGCATTTTTAATGCAAAGACTTGTATGATGAGGAGACAGAAGTTAATTTCCTGGAAATCATCTTTAAAGAGTCATGTTTTGTTTTACACTGATGTAGCTCATATCAGAACTTTTACTTTTCGCTTTGGATGGAGTAGGAAGGTCTAGGACCTCTGTTAGGTTTTATTATCTGTCTAAAGCTGAACATCAAAAGGACCATCAGTCTCATATACCAAAATTTCTGAAAGAACGACTGCCTGTGTTGTTCATAGAAGCTATGTAGTGCTGTCCTTTAAATTTCTTACCTACACATGGAAAAATTAAAGAGGCATGGGCAACATGTGTTTCTTCTTTCAGTCACTTTGAAAAGTTTCAAAACCTTTTTATTGGCTTGCCAGAATACAGCTACGGTTATCACTGCTTACATTGTCATTTGCTTTTTTAGTCTCATCTGTATTTATTTATCATAGATGAGAAGGTCCATAACCCGGAGCTTCTTCACCTACATGAAGTGGATCTTGTGAAAATAAAGCAGCTGGAGCAGCAAAAGTCTCTGCTTTCAAGTAGATTTAAGGTAAAGTGCAATTGGGGAAGAAGAAAACATGTACGGGTTTAAAATTAAACTCACAAACATCTTTTCCACATCTACGCTAACATCAAAAGGATTTAATAAACCTTACAACAAACAGATCATCATGGTGTCTGTTCTGTGCATACAGGCATACACTTTCTAAACCTGAGTGTTAAGTAGGAGAGTATCTTTTTTAAAATTTATTATCACATCATCAGTCTAAGGCCCCTTTCACACGAGTGGTCTGATTGGGTCCGCCTGTCAGTTTTTTAGGCGGACCCAATTGGATACCCAATGCTAGTCTATGGGCAGCCATATGTAAATGGATGGGCATCTGTTTATCCCTGGTTACCCCTGAGTCTAGCCAGTTCCAGAAAAACAAATGGAACAGTGTTCCATTTCGCAGGACCTGATTGTGGCGGATCGGTGGTAATCTGATGTAAACGGACATATGTCACTTTACATCGATTCACCATAGACCGACTTGGGGTCCAGTCATTTCAATTTTTTCCTCCATGGCAAGATGGTGGAAAGTCACAGCAGCGTTCCTTACCGCTCTGATCAGGAAGGGATCCATGCACTGATTTCCTCCTGAGCAGCTCATGTGAAAGCGGCCTTAGGGGTCTATTTATAAGAAAAAATTGCTTGGCAAATGTATCAGCTCTTCTTTTACAAGGTGGATATAACATTCTCTAATACCCTAAGAACACTCCATCCTAAGAGCTTATAGCTTAAAGGAGAACTATGAAGTGAGTGCTTTTCACTCACCTCATAGTTCTAGCCGACCTGTGACAATGAGACTGTCACAGGTCGGCTCAGTAGATCGGGAGGTGAGCGAACACATACCGGCACAATTGTCGGGATCCGCTTCAGCTGCGGCGTCTCAGTATACCGCGAGCTACAGCTTGCGGTATACTGAGCCTAGGGTGACGGGAGGACGCTAGTTTGTGTCCTCCCGTTACCCTAAGGAGAACTATGGGGAAAAGACTTAACCCCATAGTTCTCCTTTAAGAATGTTTGACAAGAAGAGAAAATAGCCTAAAACTATACCCTAAGAACATTTGACCAGAAGAGAAAAGAGAAAAAGATCTTAACGTTTAATTTTTCCCCATTCGCACAACCACCAGAGTTTTATACATTGTGTGAAAAATCGCTAAATCTAGTAAGCGAATGCTGCTTAATTCGCACAGAAAGAATGTACATTTAGGATAAATAGATGAATAGATATGCAATTTAATAAATAGGTCTCTTAGTGTTGTTTTGAGAAAAACTGCAGCCCCAGCATCACTTTGCTCATGAATATGTTGAAAGTGTTTCTCCAAAGATGAAAATCCTATTGCAGGGGATGTCTATGATTTGATCTTAGTATCTGCGAAGACGTCTGGTGAAAGCAGGGAGCTAATTACAATAGAAGGGAGTTTGTAGGTTTGTACATGGAGTGTTGTTTGCATGGTTGCAAAGAAAATACATTTGCATGTTTATCAGTTTGAGAAAATCATAGCTTGGTACAGACAGAAACACAATATAAAGACAGACTGAAACCCAGAATAAAGTAAAAATCCTCTCACTTCTCCCCCTCACTGATTGCTAGGCTGAAAAAAAAAAATGAACTGACCTCACATGATCATCCATTGCTAAGTCCTTCTCTACTGTTTCTGCCAGGGTCCTGATTCTGGGTGTCCACTTCACTGCGTGCGTGACATGGGCAATTCCCATTGGCTATCCTCTAGAGGGGTCCTCCCATGTTCCAGAGGGCTAGTGATATTGGCTTGAGAGGAGTTGAGGGGACCAGCCAGTGAGAGTTACTGTGCCGCGCTGGATTAGTGGTTGCTGCTGGTGGAAATGGAGTCAGCCGGGGGACCTGTTAGGGGAATATAATTTGATTCACCAAGTAAGAAAAAAGAAACACCTGGCAGGATAGGTTTGACGGGGTCGGCAATGAGGGATGGTAGGGAGATGACAGTAATTAACCTTTAAATATATTGTTTTTGTTATTTTTTTAAATGGAACTGGATGTTTCCCTAAAAAAAACATCAGCAGTTGTAAAGAATTACAGTTGAAGCATCTACTTATATCCTCTGTTGGGTTATTATTAGAATTATATTATTTATTTCTTGCTATATTTAGTTGATATGTGGGCAAGGTCAGATAAGAAAATCACAGCATGCAGAACTACTCAAATAAAATAGCAAAATCGCATAATGTATTCTACTGGGAGAGAGGAGATTCTCTAATAATGATAAGCCAGGTAATTTAAAGTGTATCTGAAGCCAAAACAGTTTTTTTTTTTATAGAGCAGGAAAGGGATAGACCTTCTTCAGGTTTTTATTGCTGTCGGTGTCCCCATAGCTCAGATTAACTTTCTCTATTTATTCTAGTGGCCATTGTCCCCAGGGCAAAATAAATTAGGGAAAATATTAAATTTTTGAGTTATCACCAGAACAGGAATAAAGTGGAAATCATCCAAAGGTGGCTCTTGTTTTGGTTACAACTAAGAGGGGGTTTCCTGCACTTTGGAGAGATTTCCTCTCAGTTTCTGTTGTGTTAAGGATACAGGAAGTGAAGGGAAATCTTCTCAGTAGGACACAAATGGCAAAAAAAACTGACAGGGGTTTTCATCTTTCCTACTATATCCAGAACAGCAGAAAAACAATTAGTCTTTTGATATACTTTAATACTGGATCATTAGCACCCTAGCTCAGATCTAAACTAAATATACTCACAAATTTATAATCTCAGCAAAGCATGGGGAAAACAATGCAGTGTATGGAGCTACGTGTGCTCTAATTTCTCAGCGGAGATATATTATGTTTATATTGCTAACCAGCTTGTTACAGTAACACAGTATCTCTCCCTGTGGAGTAATATGCAACCTGTTAATATACTCAGCTGGCCTCTTAAACAATGCTGCTACAGTGAAAAGAAGATATGAAAATTGCTTAGGTATTCAGAAAAGACCATTTAATTGGGTGAGAGTTTAGAACCGTACTCAGAATGAACTTAGAGTGTACTCATTATTAGGAATATGGGGGCTTTCCTTAAAGTGACATTAAACCCTCAGATTTTTTAACATAAACCAATACTGTAATGTGTGCCTTACTGTAATCCGTGGTTGTTTCCCTTCTCTTTGCTGCTCTTCCTTTTAAATCCTCATGTCTTCTCATGCTTGGGGAGAACTTCCCTTTGCAGCTGAGTGTCTCTTCCTGTAGTGCTGGCTCAGGTTGCAAACCTACACACAGACACCATGTATCCATTTCAGAGACAAGGCAGTCTGCTGCAAAACAAAAGTTCTGCCCAGCATGAGAAGAGATACAGATTTAAAAGGAAGAGCAGGGAAACTACCATGGATTACAGTAAGGCACACATTACACTATTGTTTTATGTTAAAAAATCTGAGGGTTTAATGTCACTTTAACTTCTAGAACATGATTATTAACCTCTACAATAAGGATTAGCTTGACCATATGGTATACTATTCTCCACACAATTAACTCTTTGAACAATACTTTTATGGTCTATCTTCAAAGCCAAAAGGACAATTCTAAGATTCTTCCACTTTGCTGCCAGACAGGCAATGCCCAGACATGCATATGGAATGTCTCAAAACCATCAATAGAGATTCATTTGATAAATTGCCTTGATTATGTACAAAAAATCCTCTCAGTTCAGAGACCTAGTATCCCTGTACTCTTCGAATACCCAGTGCATGTTTATACAATTGATGTAGACTTTCCTTGGTCTATTTAATCAACACCCACATTTTTTCTACCACAGTATGCAGATAAGCTGGGAGAGGATGACCCCAATCCTGACCCTTCTTCTGCTAACCCTACCTCTTGCCTTCCCTTCCTATTCTGAATGTATTACCATGTATCAAGATGTATCAAAAGAAGCTTTTGCTCCAATACTTACATTCAATTCAGTGATGTGCCCCATAGTATGTCCCTGCTCCTCTTCTAGGTGTACTGAATAATTACAAGTTTGGAAAGGCTAAACTAGCTAAACTACTAGCAAGGTGGTGACCATAGCGATTTGCAGTGCAGGGGATGTGATACCCAGAATCAATGCCAGGATGTAAAATTATGTGTAGAATTTTCCTAAAGCCCCCTCTTTACCCTCTGACCACATGTGAACAGCAAATACCAGACCCTAGACTGGATCTTACCCTGCTTTCAGGCATTGGTTGCTTTTATTGACTATACAGGTTTGCCATCAGTCATTTGATATTCTGGTCAATGGGCAGGTCATTACAGTAAAGAAAAACAACCAGTAAACGTACAGTTGTCACGTACCTGGTTGGAGACCATATGTGAGAGGAGGCTTCCCTTGCACCTTGTGTCCTGAGGACTCTGGGGATGGAAACAGAGACCAGGAGTGCCAGTGGTGGCGAACACCATGCAAGCCGTAATCCAAGGAGACAAGCCGAGGTCAGTTCCAAACGGGCAATCGAGGTACAGAAGGGTCAGGCAAAAGCGTAGTCCAATGAGCAGTTTCGAGGTCGAGGGCAGGCAGCAAGCAAGAGTCATCAGGGAATTCCGGGTCACAAAGAGTCAAGCAAGGATAACAGGAGCACAGGAACAGGAGATAGCTGACAATAATCCAGCAACATGGTGGTGCTGTGGCCGAGCTTATATAATGGAAGTGATAACAATAATGAGTCACTTCCTGTGCGCCACTTTGGCTGCGTTTCCGTGTTGGAAGGCGATAGCGTCTGCACATGCGTGGAACTGCGCGGTCCCGAACCGTACGAGGACGCACGACTGGCGCATTTGCGGTCAGCGGGGAACCCTTACAACAGTGATGCAGCTATGGTCACACATAACAGTGCAGCCAACTGGAAGGAGGATAAGCTCTGATCTGAGGTGTGCTTTTTACAATTATCTTCTATTGAAGGAATTATGGGTAAATTTTATATATAATGTAATTTCAATTGTAAAGTGCAAATGTTCATGTTGGTTGATATGAATGAATTTGCAATATTAATGTGTCCTTATTGTATTCTGAAACCTAACAGCAGTACTTTTCTCTTTCTAGGATGATATATTACACATTGGAGTGGAATCAGAGACATTTGGGGGCGCTCTTCTTCATCTGGACATTGAACAAATGGATAGAGCAGTCGCCGACAATAGGAAGAACAATACAACCCACACAAGATTAACCCTTTCTCCTTTAAGCCCTGATTCAGACAGGTAGTACAATGTTGAACAATTCTATCTTCTCTGAGTAGTTTTGAATGTCATACAGAGCTGTGTTGTAAAATAATAATAGACATTCTCTGAGACGCTGTATATTTCAATTATGCAGATTTATTTATTCCAGTGGCTACGGAACTTGCAAATCCACTCCAGGATTAATACCAACAAGACAGCATTCCTCTTTAAGCCTTTTGACACCATTTCACCATCTCAGAGCCCCAACACAAGCTGGCAATAATGAGGTAAGTTGTGTACCATGTACTTGTACCCGTGTGTGAAAAGACCTTAAAAATGCCAAAAGTAAAGTACCGTCACTGTCCCACTAGGAATTCTGAACCAAAGCTTCCCATCCCTGTTCCATGAGCATTGCACTTTAAAACCAACTGACCCATTCTTT